ATCCATCCTCTCCCAGGACTGAAATGTCTTTTGTTACTCTTTTCGGTGCTTTTGTAACTATGATTTTTTACATGGCAGGGTTGTTGGCCTTGCGCACAACCACTTGGGGGGTTGCCCCTCACAGCTCAATGGGTAGCTGCCTTTGTTCGGGTAAGGTCCCTAGCCCTAGCCTTTGTGGATCCCTCCACTTCCTACAAGGCAGTAGGGCTGATTTTGGTTCGCCCCGGGTATTTTATTTCCCCGGTACCCTCCATATCTGGCGGGCTTTCCCCTATCCGCCGGCTGGGGAGGCGCTCGATAGAAGATCAGCATCTCCCACGTTTAGCCCTCCTAAATTTGTTCTCCAGTGTACTTTTCATTAAAATTCTTTCAGGTATACTAGATACTCTAACTCTTAGAACACGATACAATGGCTACTCAAAGTATACAATTTAATTTTTACTTTTTTGTTATTTTAGAGTCAGAACCTGCTGCAATTATGAGTGTCTATAAAAAATGTTATAATTTCTGCAATAAGAATAATTTACCAAACTATATTTTTCACTTTTACAATCTTATATCATTCATAATAATTAAAAATGATTGTTTACACAGTGGACAAAAACAGTCTCTGGTACAAAGTGTGCAGATGGTATTACTACAAATCATATTTCCCTGAATTAGGTAACAATCTTCATTGTCATATAAAATATAGTTAAGTTTTCTGTATGTTCGATTATATCATTTTATTAGAAAAGTGTATTTCTTTTTTCGTTAACCAGCATTTAACTAGCATTATAAATAATAAGTTACAAATAATTCAGTCAAACTTTGTGGTCGAAATGTTAGTAAATAAAAAGTTGTCTTTGTGTGCGTGTGTTTCAATAAAACTAATTATATCAGTATTTAAATGGCTGTTAAAATTTTTTAGAAATTGTTATATTTTTTTTTATTCCATATCGATAACATTTTATTCATTTAATGAATTAGGACTAAGAAAAGAGGACATAATTGTTGAGACCCCAGTTACAGGACCAATCATTAAAGAAGCTTTGAGAAGACTCCCTAAAGAAGAGATTGATGCTCGTAACTTTCGCATCCTCAGGGCAAATCAGCTATCCATGATGAAAAGAGTTCTGCCACGTGATCAGTGGACAGTTTATGAAGAGGTATTATTTTGTATATTGCTTTCTTTACAGTTGTAGTACCTGGTACCGGTATACATGTTTATCTCCCTCACTCTTTCTTTTTCTCTCTCTTTGATATAAAATTATGTTGTGCTCAAGGTAGAGGTGAGAAACTGGAGTGAGCTGAATAAAGTTCTAATTATGTTTTTACGGACTAAACCACCCTATCCAAGTTTATAAACAAGTATCTGTCAATATAAGACAAGACAACTAAGTGGAGGTTTCGGCTAGATGCCTTCTTCAGCAGACAATATAATGCAGGTTTTATTTTTAATTTAAATCATCTTTTGTTAATCATAATGAGACTTTTACTGAGACATACAACATTCTCTAAAATAGTACCAACAAGAAGACAAGATAACGTTCCAAGTTCTTCACAAACTTGCCCATGCACCTGCATAAAGCCTTTGAAAATTGTTTCACAGAAATCACATGTAGAATTATTTCTCTGCAATACTACATTCAAACAATAGGAAATGGTCAAAATCACTTCTTTACTTCTTTTTTTTTTTTAAGAACCTAAAAAGTAAATTTTATAAAGTTACTTCTCTCAATAATTGATAATATTAATAATATGATCTTTCATTCATATTAATGTATTTGTCAGAAGTTTACAAGGACTGCTCTCTAATTTCTTCAAATAATCTCCCATACACTTTTCATTATTAATCGTATGTCAGCCTTTGAGAAATTCTTGATTGTTGTCTTCCTATGGCAAAATAAGACGTACAGGCTTGAGATTTATGCTAGCAGATTGCTTTGTCTTATCTAGGAATTATTGGGACATCCATCATCACTTGGGGAGAAAGGCCATGATTACAGTATGCAGCATAAGGATGTGTGGCAGATCAGACATTACACAAGATCCTCCAAATATTACACGTGACAAATCAAACACTACATATGACAGGCCTGGCATTATTCAGACACAGAAACGCAATGTCTGACTAATCAAACACTATGCTTGACATATTAAGCACAACATATGACACACATACTGGCAGTACTGGTTATTTTCATTAAAATTATTTATTTCCTTAAATATGTATTGTTTACCAACATATACCTGCAGTATAAATAACTCATACATTTTTTTCACAGGATGGGCCTTACTTGAGTCCACTTATTAAGGAAGTAAAACGAGAAATGGAAGAAAGAAAACTCTGGGATTCAGCATAGCATTATGTTAAAATTATTTTAAGATTTCCTTTTCTGTTGACATAAAAGGGTTGAATTATTTTTTAATTTTATTTATTAAAAAAAAAATATAGAAAATTTCATTTTGAAAATTAGATTCCCTAAAATCAATAAAGTCTTCGTCTCTAAAAAAAAATATAATTATTATGAGTTTGTTTGGCTTTCTTAAGATTTTGTATTGTTTATAGACTATGTTCTCTTAAAATTTATTGGATATTGAATTTCAAAATGTATACATGAATTATGCATTCGTTTGAAACAGTATGTTTCAAGGTTTGCTTGCAATTCAAAGGCATGAAAAATAAATAGACGATTTTAAAAAAGAAATGTTTTCAAAATTCATTGAACTTTTGTATGCTGCATACATTATAGAATTCTGCCTACATTAAAGAAAGAACAACCATTAAATTAAAAAAGATATAATATAACACAATTAAATTTCATTTATTGGTCATTTTGCTCTTCTGATTTTCCTTTCCCACGTCCTACCCTTTTATTCCAATTATTATTTTTTTTGTGTGCTTCTAACATGGTATTTGCTGCACTTTGCTACATTCTTTTAGTTTCTTTTTGTTCTTTTATTTGTGCTTTGTTTTCACTAAAGGTTTTTCCATTGTCTTATTTCAAGCTTTGACATATCCTGGTATTCATGTTTCCATAAGGATAAAGAAAACAAGTTAAAGTTACGGCTAGCAATCTATATAGTATATGAAAGCCAAATCTCACTCACTGATCTCGAGATCTTAAGAACAACTAGCCCTATGAAATTTTCCATTGTGCTCCCTATTATACCATAGGCATGCAATGACAAGTTTTAAAAAAAAAAAAACTATGGTGGCCTAAAATGACCAAAGCCTGAAACCTATGCTAAAGTTATGATTTGTTAATTTGCTTCGGTAGCGAATATTTGGTTTGTAGTCTGTTACATTTAAGTGTTTTAAACTGCATTTGAGCATTCTATATTTTTATTCGCATCCAACAAGAATGTTTATATTTAAATTCTTTAAATCGTGTATCTAACTTTAAATATCACTATAAGATATGTTGATCTTGTGTTGATGCTAAATCCAACCTTTAATAAAGTATTAAATAGGGTAAGGAAACTTAAAGGAAGGTATTCACTCTGGGTAATCTCTGTGAAGTTGTCATAGATCTAAAAACGAGTAAAAACATATAGTGAAATTTTAGAGATTTACACACTGATAATTTGATTGGGCTTGAGGAAAGTGCTATTCTTACACCCAAAAACGACACCGTAGCAAACAATGATTCTTTATTGGACCAACTTTCTACTGGGATAGTGAGATCTCAGCCTGTGGACTCCATGGTTGAGTCAGAGGACATGGTTCACTACCCCCGGTAGAGTCCCTTCACACTTAAAACCTAAGAGGGATTCCAGCACACCATCTCTATCTGAGAGTTTGTACTCCAATCATGCTGCTACCCCATCTGAAAGCCCATAATTTCTTTAACGCCTTACATATAAATTTCAGATTTGAAGATATCATCATCAGTTTATTAATGCCCTGAATTCCTATGATTCCCCCCAACTACCACATTCATTTTAAGTATTTTAAGCAACTGAAGTCTCCTGTCAAAGTCTGGTTCCCCATGACAAGAAACAAAGCTCAAGGGTAGTCTTTTAAAGAGATTTGAGTGGATTTAATCAATGATTGATTCTCAGCATCATTTTTAGTCACACACAGAAAATTATGTCCTTCTGAGATGAGGTGCCCAAGGGAAACTTTATGCCTCTTTTTTAAGGTTCAAGGTCAAGTTTATCACAGAATTGGAAGTGTGTTACCTTCATCTCAACAAAATCCCTCATTTTTATAAATACATAATATATTTGGCAAACATCAAAGAGAAGCAGAAATCCTGTTGCAATGTAAGTTGGTCAACTAAAAAAATGCTGCATGAACACAATCCCTACATTAAAGTTAAAGATTTTGACACAGCAATTGAAAACGTTCCAGACGGATAGGAGTTAATGTTGAGATTCATGCAGACAGAATACCTGCAGATAGACAGGGGTTATTGTAACCCAACAACAAGTGGGGTGGCTTTGGTAACTGTGGGGTAGCAGTATGAAAAGCGAGACATGATTCTTCACAGGTTTTCTGCTAGCATTATTAATATATGGTACAAGTTGATGGGCGTTGATCTTTCTTTCTTGGCTAAGTCTCTTTGTTCTGAATGCATACATTTTTATTTTTTTTATATTTCAGTGAAATTTCAGTGTCACAACTGTTGCATTAATTGTATTTTCATTTGTTGAGTAGATCATTGATTGTTATTTCACTTTTCAAAAGGCATTAACTGTAAGCCACAAACATGAACATGTTTGAATGGATTCAAAAACCATCCGTTATTTTTGGAAACATAGAATTCCATAAGTCCAACAAAAGTAAAGACACAAAGTATGGTTCAATTGTGTTTATTTCACATTAAAAACATATAAAATATGGGAAAGGTGGCTTCCATTTTAAAATGGACATTCCAGTTTTTAAAATGGTTATTCATTTGTTACTAAACATCAAGTAATGGCATTCAATGTAAATAGGTTATAATTTCAAGAATGAAATTATTCCTGTTCGAATACATAATATAAAAAAAAACCTAATTTAATTGTAATTATATTTATTGCAACTACCTGCGTTTGAAATAACAATGGAGTTAGTCGATCATTATGTATATATTGTTCAGAGTGACTACTTCTTTCAGCAGATCAAATTAGCAAGTGGTTGTTTTTTAACACAATATTCTGTGGCGTATCATCCAGTCAGCAATAATTTTGAGTCAAACAGATGAGTGAGTTCAATTCAACCAACCAGAAAAGTAGTAGTTGAGTAAGTCATCCAATTAGGTGATCAGAAGTTCTTAATTAACCCGGTTGGTAAGGAGACCTTGCATGTCTTTGAGAAGTGCTTCAACTCTCTGGCGCTGTGCAAGTAAAATTATGGCATGTTTAAATATTTAGTGTAAATATTACAAGATGTTCTAAATTTTTATTGAACTTAGCAGCTAGTCTTCAAAATAAAAAGAGAAATAGCAGCCAGATTTACTAGAAATGTACCGGTAATCTCTATTTGTTTTGTGCACTTCTAAATGAAAATGAGTAAAAAAACCACAAAACAATTGATTCAGGTGAAAATAATTAAATAATACAAATTAAAATAATACTTATTCTAGCTTAGATGTTATTTGTTGAAATATGAGAGATTCATATATTTTTAAGTTTATCTTTAAGTTTAATATCAAATTGATAAATAATTCAGCTACCATATATACTCGCATATAGGTTGCACTTTTGAACCAAAAATTTCTATAAAAATCAGGGAGGTGTCTATCCACTCAACATCAAATTCGCTTACTGTTATTAAGAGTGGAGTAATCATTTATACTTGAGTCAGAGAGTTGTTTTCTCCTTTATGCTCAACCAGAGGGCAATCCTTTTTTATTTTATGTTTATTAAAAATTATGCAGTTTATGACGATTCCTCTTCATATTTCAAGTAGTAATGAAAACATGTTTGTGGTTTCTATGCTATAACTATAACTTTAACAAATTTTATATTGTTAGATTTATGTTAAAATGGGGCCATGTAACCCCCCAAAGTAAAAGTGCGACCTATCTCAAATACCCACTTTGACAATAAGTGTGACCTATCCATTGGTGTGTCCTATATGTGAGTATATACGGTAACTTTAAAGTAGTGAGTAGTGAGTAAGTAACAAGCATTGAATAAAACCAATTTAAAAGGTATCTAATTTGAGAATAACAAGCTGGTCATACACTAAATTTATCCAGCATATCTCCTTTTTCTTTGATCTCAACATGTGGTGGAACTAGAGCCTGCAATCTTACAGCTTTCAATGCAACTGGTTGACATGCAATGAGATGGGAGATTTCTTGAGCCTGTGTTTCAATAACAAGAATTAAAAAAGGATTTTGTGCTTTTAAATTATTTGTTTGGTGATCCCTTTGACCATTGTGCATAAGACAGAAATACCATTTCTGGACAATTCTTTAATGAGAATCCATAAAGTTACTTTTGGATGCAGCCTTTACAAAAAAAGGCCCTCTTCCTTTTTAAGCTATAAATATTAGCTGAGTAGATGAAACGTCCATGTCAATGATTTTTTTTTTGTCAATGTTTGGTTCTTATATTTCAATTTATTAATAAGACACGAACAAATTGTGTCAATAGAACAATATGAGTTAGCTTTAATAATAATTGTACATTATACAGAATTAAACGTTTCGGCACATGCCTTCATCAGTACAAACAAACACAACACATTTAAATAAGTATAAATTAAATTTACATAATGTCAATATATATATCCTACCTAAAACAGAAAAAATATAAAAATATAGGAGAGGGCGCTTAAACCTGACAAAAACAAAGTAAAGAGATGTAGAAAGGATATTTCTTATATTACAAGCTTTCCCAAATCTTAACCTTAGTACACCCTTCACAGTTTGTAGCATGAATCTAGAAACTGACCACATACTCCAATGTCTTAAATGAAACAGAAACACAAAGAGTGGCAAAATATTTTCTATTTGGATTAGATGGGACTAGAAATGTAATGTAAAATATTTACCCTGTTTGCTTGGTAACGAAGCCGCATTATTCTAAGCCGATTTCTTGCTTCTGCAGCCCTATGGTAGAGTTATAGCCATATCAGTGCTTATTAATTTGGCAAATTAATTATTCAATACTTTTGATTTGGATGAAATTCACTTAAGTTTATAAAGATAATCAGATTAAAATCTGATGGGATAAGTCAATAAATATATAATTGAGTATTTTCATAAGTAAAATATAGTATTTTTATTTTAATGTCATGGGGTCATCCATACATTTTGTGAGCATTGATGGGGAAGAGCTGAATTTTAAAATATCCCTATTAGTGTGAATGAGAATTTTGGAGGTGCATTACAAGTGCAATAGTCATTGATGCATTTTTGTGCTAGAGAACATAACTGAAGAGTAGGCCAATACCAATATACCCTTGTTCAAAATGATTATTAACTTTCCATAGATCCTATATTCCCCATTCAAAAGATGGGAACCTTTGCTTTCAGTAAATCCCCCAATTCCTAAGTCATTACCTACAGAGTACAATGTACACCAAGCAAAAAATCAAATTTTGTGCTTGAGAGTCATAGCTGAGGGTTCACATTGTATTATTGCATGCTGACACTTAAGGACACTAATTAGGTCCAACTAGGAGAATATTAATTATTGTCACTTTGTCAATGTTTGTTTAAAATCTTAAAATTAATGACATAATTAAATTTTAAAATCTCACTTCAATTGACCAATCAGCTTAGCATGTTTTTCTCTTTCTTCTGCCTCTTTGTCCGATAAATTTGGTTTTTGTCTGAAAAGAACAATAATTATAATTCATAAAGTTACAACTCCTATGGGGCTCCATCTCCGGGTTTGATTTCAGAGTTTGCCTTCTCTTAGATTTAGATGAGTTGCCATCACAGGTTAACGAGTCCCATTAACCCGGATGCTGGTGAAATTTTTGTTTGTCAAGTCATTTTTTGGTGACTGAACAGAAGTCCACTAGCTTGGGATTGACTCAGTTTAGACTGCTCGGCCACCTATATATTACATACTGGGTACACAAAAACTTCATCTTATCCTATAAATTTTTGCTCCCCCTCCCCTATGCATATGTAGAAATGCTACTTTCTTGCAAATGTTCCGTCACCCTGGCTGATTTACAGTACTTATTTCCTACATTATTTTTTTACATGTAAAAATGTACCTTCATCAATTTTATTGTTCATTAGACATAGAAATTCAGTTTTAAGGAGTTTTACCTACATTTCAATTTTCTTCTTCCTGTCAAGCAGACGTTTTCTGGTAATAGCTTGAGCATCAGCAATGTCCTTTGGAGGCTCTTGATACTGATAAAAGTGTCAATAATGGGAAATAACAAAATAATAATCTATTATTATATAAAATGAAGGCCTATTAACACAACCTAATCATTTGTTTGGTGAAAATATCTATTGGCTACAGGTTATCACCATCTGGTTTGAAATAATTGTACAAAGAAGTACAAAGAACAGTCTTGAGCCATGTTTTTAACAACCCTATAGTATATGTGAAGATTCACCTGTCACTCATATGAAACTAATAATAGTCTATCTATATTCTTATCTTATATTATTTCATCTCAAAATTATTTGCACAAGAATACCACAAGGTTTCATTTTAAAATTAATACAAATATTTACAGCCATGTATCGACTCTTGACTTGTGGTGGCAATTTCTGCAACTCCTCTGGTTGAAATTGCTTGCGAAGAGTGTGGTGCTTACTCTGTAAAAAATTAAATTTAGATTAATAAACTTACTAAGCCAGGCATTAACACACAGTTAAAAGTAATAAAATCATTTAAATGGTCTAAATAGTACATGCATCAATAAAGGTAAGAGTATAGAGGTTTTTGGTTTATCTTTTTTAGTCTGGTTTTGGTTAACTTTGGTTGAGTTATATCTTTGTTTAACAGACCAACTAACCTTGACTCTCAACCAAACTCTACCCTAATATCTCCCACCTCACTGTGCACTACTCTTTCTACCAACTCCCTCTCCTTTACACCCCCTCCCTATTTCCACCAGACTTACTCTCATCCCTACTAATAACCTATCTTGTCTCCCAATATTTTCCACCTAAAACATCAATTCATCAATAACCTCTTTCCACTCAGAATCCTTTGCATTTCATTCACCCATTTAATCTATAATTTTCCTCAGGACCCATCTCCCTAAAATCTCCTCACACTCTAACTTTCTCTTCTACCCAAACTCCTTTACCTCATACACTGTTCCATCACACAAAATATTGTCCTCATTATTCCTAATTTCTCTCCAATCTCCAACTAGGCTATCCTATAAATCAGGAGCCCTTTCTTATCCTGACACCCCCCCCCTCTTCTTTTGCATTCATTAATTAGAGCCCCCCAAAAAAACTTTGCAAATTTCCACTTGATTCTTTCATCTATTTCAATTCTTTCTCTAATTCTACTCCAAATATTTAGCATATGTAATAATATATTATTCATTTGATATTGACATATTAACAATTGACACAGAAATTTATAACTGAAATATGATATATCTTATTAACTTTTAAATAAGAGAGGCATTTTACACAGTCAGCTGGGAAAAACACTCAACCTTATTGGGGGCGTCCATTAATTACGTCAACAATTTTTACGCAATTTTTATCCCCAAATGAATTATAATATAAATAAATATATAAATACATTTCATAAATACATAAATACTGATCTATTTAAATGACAAATAAAATTGTAGGGAAAATATTTTATTACATTACATCTTTACCTTGTTAATCAACAAGTTAAAAAGTTTTTACACTTAAATTTTATAAAGTAGAATCAATTAAAAGGTTGTTGAAGAATAAATATAATTGTTTGTGCAAGTATAAATATGATTAATGTAAGTATAGCTGACAATTGTAGTATAGTTTCTAGTTGCTATCCTCTTCCCATCAATCACATAGAGTAGCCAGATGTTTCTCTATCATAACAATGGACATAGTAGCTGATTTATCATTTTCATATTGCGGAACTTATATACCAGACAAGTCAACATCATCCTCATCTAACCATTCAGCACTTACAATAGAAGCATAGTCAGTGTGAGCAATAAATGCCATAAGCTTCTCTTCTGTCTCCTCGCATTGGTCGAATCCTTTTTTGTTGAGGAAAAGGTGGTAATTTCTTATGCTCAAGAGTGCATTGTCGGTGCTTTTGAACATGCTTTGTCAACATGACTTGTGATGCAAAACAGATGTTACAGATTTTGCAAATCTGTTCAAGTAGCATTGTTATTATTGTTACTTACTTAACTTTCCCCTAATTCTCAAAATCAATATCATTTTTTTTCACTGCACATGACACTTGAACCTTGTCCTATACCTGCAACATGATCGCAAATGTACCACCCAAGTCATTTGAGACAAACAGAATCTACAGGTGAAGAGAGGCCAATTTTTTACTTCTCTTGCACTAACAAAGTGTGTTAACATTCTGACCAACCATCTGCAGTGTACAGACATTAACTAAATCTTATATTGTTAAAAGCCTAAAAATTATGACTATTTTCACTCATTAAATTTTTTAAAACAATTAGGGGCCTAATAACTATTCAATTTTTAAGAGACACGTTTTAATAAGGAAAAAATATTTTTGACATCAATTCATCTATCTCCCCTCTGTCAACGATGGTCAAACATTGCCACCCCCACCCCCCATTTTGTTGACATACCCATTCCAAGCCGACTGTGTATAACATTCAGCATTATTCCCAGCCCATAAATGGTTTGTGTAGACTTATGCTCAGGCTATTTTAAAGGTTAACATACAACCGTTAAACAAATTCTTTAATAGGATTAATAAATTAGATACCAGTGATCAGGGTTTGTGAGCATAACAAACAACTGCATATCGTTCTGGGTACACATACTGCAATGCATTTATAATATAAGCTATTGATACAACAGTATACAACCAGCGAGTGTCCGTCAAATATGTGTAATAAGCTATACTCTCCTGCCGTGTGCTAAATTCTCACATAGAAAATAGTGCATGTGTTAGGATCATATTCCATATAATTAGTCATTCTGCAATCTGCTGTTTATCTTAACAAGACACAGCGATTGATAGATACAAGCTTCAAGCTAATGGTGGTCATATTTTATACCATTGTATTTGTATTTACTGTCCTGCTATGTGTGCTTCTTACATAGACACCATGCCTGGTCTATAATAATAATTACTATAATAATTTCAAGATCTTTAAAGTTTATGTTAGCCCTCACATCACACTCTGGTTCTGTGTGTAGCATTAACACTGTGCACGTGTTTCAAATTAAACACTGCACGTGGTTTATTTTATAGTTAAAACATTCGCAGTACAAGATAATTATCTTTGCCATTTGTATAAAACAATACTACGTACGTATCATTTATCATGCTTTCTAGTTAAGTATATTTTGTCGCCACGTGTAATTACGTGGTTATGTAACATGTTTATTGTTAGCTATGTTAGTCAGGACATTGTTGACCTGTACTATTTGTTTATTTTCAGATATTGTCCTTTTTCTTCATAGTGGACTTTTGCCTTAGTCTTTATATTTTCTTAGGACTTTTCCTTTGGACCTGTCGGTCACAGTGACTTTTTCCTGGTAGAGCATTAATAAAGCTATAGTCCTCGAGACCTGCATTTCTTCATTTTTTTGTTCATTAGTAACTGTCAGTGGTAGCCTTGGTACAACCAAGCACCAATCACCCACCACGCACTACTACATTATTATACTTATAAAATACTATTATTAAATTTATTATTATACCTGCCTTGGCCTTAGACTACAGTAGCCTATATATTATATAATTTAAATATAGTATTAGTATATTATAGTGACTAATTAGACTTAGTATTATAAATTATATAGTATAATAGTATAGTCATATTCCTAGACCGAAAAGAATATCATTGAATTTGAATTGAATTGATTATTATGAATATGAATATGCCACCACCAAGTCAAGTGTTTACAAAATTTAACACACGTTTTCACACAAAATACGGAAAATTAATACTCCAAAATATCAATCCATAAGGAATGATGATGAAATTTACTGAAATTATATATCAATTATTAATATCTACCTCCGCCATAGCCACAGAAATAATTCAAAACATCACTGATCACTGAATAGTAAAACAAGGATGGCTTCTAATAGTAACCAGGAACGACCACTAGTCTAATTACCAGATGTTACCGAAATCGTTGAATAAGACATAAGTTAGAGATGTGATAATAGTTAAGTTTAAAAAATACCGGTAATAATAAGAAGTATAATAATTTTACTATTTCTATTGCTAAAAACCTAAACTAGTACTAGTTGAAAATTTTATTGAAAAAAAAAAGAAATCTTATTTAACTATGACCCCCTTTTTCCCCATAACAACACCTACTAAAATGAACGCTTCTCATGTCATTAGTCATACTTGTTTGTCCCATAATAATTAATATATACTATACCAAATAATAATATGATATAGACAGGTAGTTGTTGTTTTTTTTTGTCCTTGGAAAAATGTAAAATATTGAGACTTCCAATGAGGTTGAAAATAGGGAGCAAACTTCCAATTTTTTTTTTTTTAAATTTAACTTGACTTCGAGTTAGTTTTTAATTTTTTTTAAAATATAATTTTTATATATAGTTTTTAATATAGTTTTGTTGGGCTACTAACCCTAGCTACGACACTGGATTATTTACGCATCTGAGACCACTTTAATAAATAAATATGTATTATATGTCTTTGATATTTTTGTAACTGTTTTTAACTAGTAATACTTTGATATTACTATTACTTGTTTTGTTGGTGTTGTAAAATGTTATTTACTTGGTATTACTGTTGTTGATTTTGTTTTGAGTATTAGTATTATTTCTATTTTTGCATTTATTGTTTATTAATTATAATTTCATAATTTCTGGAGATCAATACTCAACTTGATTGTTAATTGCAAGCTGGAATTTATAGGTCTTTATAATATTGTGTTTGTACCTCAACTACCTGTATTATTAACGTTATAGGAAATTTGGCACCCTTCCTGTAGGCTATAGGACATGATAAATAAAGTGTTGCGAAACGAAAGAAAATATTTTTTGTGATATATATTTTTTGGCTGCACCTATAGGTACCCGGGTACATATAGCCACAAATGGCTACTCGGAACCGGAGTGGCTCCATATAGATTAAATGGCTTCGGAGCCGGGTGTGATAACAATAATAGTATGAGAATTTTTTTTTGTTAAATGGTTATTTCTCCTTATTTCATAGATTCATAGTTTTATTATTTTTAGTTGTGTTTTTTTTCTTATTGCAGGTAGTTGTTTTTTCGGTACCGTTTTCTCTTTCTAATTTTATTTTTTTGTTTAAGCCATTTTCGTAGATCAATTTTTTTTAAAAATATAGTAATCAAGATGATTTAGATACATTTATTGTTTTCATTTGAATTTTAGAAAAGTAATAATATTAATTTAATTATTAATGGACCACGTTATAGAATTTCACCAACAACAGAGAGCGACCAAAGTCCAAGCGTTGGTTGATGTGTTACGTGTCCTCATAATGAGTAGATCTGGGAAACGTTACGAGCGGACCAGGGATTATGTTGCGATATATTAACTAGAGAGTTGTGCCACCCACTACCACTAAGTTAAAAAAAAAAAAAAAACTCTTCAGCTCGCCGAAAATGCCACCCTCATTATAATTTTTTTTTTTAAAGTGCCCTGGGCGAATGCACCCCCTGATATTGAGGTCCTTTGCGAGTACCACCTTTACATGGCTGTGCATGGATCCAGTGGGCTAGAAAGAAATATCAGACAAAGTAGATATATTTATAAAATAAAAATTAAAAAATATTTAAATCTAAATATATCCTATTGGGCAACTTTTATAACGTATCTTTGAGGACAGAAGTAGAAGAGTTCTCCGTTTCCCACAATGGCGTCGTATATGACAAAAAAATCATGAAATGTACATTTTTCAAAAAAATCTTGTACTATTTTGTGAAATGGTTATTGTATTCGAACAAAAAGACGCAATTTTAAGCCTTTTGTTCCATCAGGTAAAGATGAAATTTTAATTTTATATCACTAGAAATAATTATTCGCGCTTAAATGTCATGGCCTTAATGATAATGTAGCCACTTAAACTTAAATACAAAATTTTAAAAAATTGAAATAATTTTTTAAATAACACAGTTAATAAGAGCAAATTTCAAATAAAAAAAATGAAACCAGAATCAACTTTTTAGCTTAAGTACTTTTTGAGCTATGAAATGTTTTAAAGTGTGAGTTCGTTTGGTATTTTTTACTATGGACGAAACCTCCACATCTTGTGACCACATTCCGCTGATCGCATCATGCGCAATGACTATATAGTTTATATAAGGCAACGCATCGCCTTATCACTAAAATACTGTTTAGGGTCGACTTAGTTTAAACTTTCAACTTTGGCACATGAATAATTATTTAATTAAAGCTTTCCCTGACCAATGACCAATGGTATTATATAGTAGTTTTTGCACACGGCAAACTCTTATGAATGAAACTCTGAGGTAGTACCACGATACAGCCATTATGCAAGTGGCTGTGAATGGTTGCCAATGACAACGTGTTGCACACAGTAAATTCTGATCATTTATAATATGGATTCTACCGGGTTGTTAAAGCTCAAATTAAAACATTCCAGTTTAAATGTCTTCAAAATGCATTCTGAAACACAAGTTATCAATTATTTTGATGTAAATAGTGGTAATAAATTAATATTTCCTAAGTATCGGCAACTTCCGCCATTAAAAAGGGGGGGTGGCCCACCCCATGGCAAAATTAGGTTGAGCGAGCTGAATGACCTGCTGCGAACGCGTAGAAACATGGCGTCTCTCGTAAGACACTTATCGCTGTGAAAATTGGCATACATGTAGATCAATAGATTCCCCAGATGCAAAAAAAATTTGGTAGTGACAAATTTTTTCCTTCGACTTAATTTTAATGATGAAAGTTGCCTTATATTTACCAAGGATTTTCTCAAAGCTGACTGATTGTAAATGAAAAAGAAATTGATTAAAATGTAGGCCAAGATGTCTACCTAATTATAAGGCCGAAAACGGAACTCAAATATATATCGAAAGTACTAATTTAATAATAAATAGACACACACATCGGAAAATTAAAAACTCGGATTTTTCGGCGCCGATTGCGAATTCCCATACACGAAAAGTAGTAGTCTCCCTTGACTTACCGAAGTCCCTTATATAAGGACTTATAACTTAAATATAAGTTTAAAAAAAGAAAATACCAATGTTAGATGAAGGCATAATTAACAACATATCCAAAATTCGTGAGGTTAGGACCAGTGCATGGGTGAGAAATTTTTGCACAAAATTTTTGTTACGTGTCCCAAAATTACCTATTATGGATAATGAACGTTTTTGTAGTAAGTAGCTTGATTTACACTGGAAATCCAGCATATTACCCACTAATAATATTTTAAAATAAAGCAGCAATTTAATAGCTCTAAGTACTTTTATCTGATGCTTTTATTTTGAGTGGGGAAGTGGGCTAAATAGCCCTGGCCCTATCCTTATTGTATGATAACTAATAGTATAAATAATTAAATAAATATATATATATATATATATTTATATATATATCCATCCATCCTATAAGCCTAGTATAGTATAGACTATAGTAGCCTATAGGTCTAGTACCATCGCAACTTATTATTGCAAGACCTATTAATAAACAATTAACTATTATAGTTAATGATATTTTAGGCCATGTAATCATATTTTATTATTTAATGGAAATTATGATTCTTAAATTTTAAAATAAAAATGTTTAAAAAAAATATCCACTTACCTTTGATATTGAAATATCCTGAATTCACTCACAAATCACAATATTCCACCAGAAACTTATGTAATCCTCAGTATTCTTCAAGAAATAACACACTTTCTGATAGAGTAATCCAAGAATTTCTTAAGCTTTTACAAAAGAACAATCATAAAAGCTTGTACTTACCTCAAGCAAATGACTTAGAACTTATTTTAATTTCTATCAACAGCCAAAGTTGATACATGTTGATTTGTGAAACAAGATTACTAATTTTTTGGTCATATTCTAATGCAGCGGTTCTCAACCTGTGGGTCGCGACCCCTTTGGGGTCGCGGACCCTTTTCCAGGGGTCGCCTAAGACCATCTGAAAACTCATATCCTTAAGGCTAAGAAGTAGCAACGGAAAATAATTGTGTGGCTGGGGGTCGCCACGACATGAGAAACTGTAATAAAGGGTCGCGGTACTATAAAGGTTGAGAACCACTGTTCTAATGGGACTAAAATACATACATAGAAAATGGTAAAATAAAAATTATAATTGTCAATTTTATATAAATGAATCAAATAATCCCTGTTTTATTTGTTTATACTGATAAAAGTTAAACAATTCCACAGAAAATTTGAAATTAATATCTAAAGAATATTATTATTATTATGAAATTAGGGAAATTTTAAACATTTATATTTAAAAAATATTAATTAATTAATTAATGCAAGTAAGTGACGCGTCAGCATATTTTATTCATTTTAATAAGGAAAATTATCAAGATTAAAAATATTTTTTTGCGGAATATTAACAAAATCTAAAATTGTATTTTTTTGGCTTTATTTAGAAGAACTCATATTTAACTTTGTTCCCTCAAAATATCATATTTTTGTCTCATTTTATAACAAAGTTATAGGCATTCAAACAATAGCAATATGAGGGTGACGAAATTTGGAGGAAAATCCCAAAGTGAAAAAGGGGTTTTGAGGTCCCTACTAAAAAATTCATAACTTTTGAACCACTTGAGCTAGAAAGTTGATCTTGGTGTTTTTTGTAATCTATTCTTCAGGCTCTATACATCTGTAGTATTTTTATATTTGTAAAAATGTTTTGAAATTTTCATCAAAGTGCCTAGTAATAATAAATAAGGCAGGGATTCTTACCACATGTCACATGTTTTTATATTGTTGCTTTACTTTACTTTTAAATTTTACTTTACTCTTTACAGTTCTTTACTTTTCCTAATTTAGGCGTGCTAGAAGGCTGGCACATAATTCACTAAAGCAGCAATTGTGAAAACGGAGAAAACTAGAGAAGATTTTTAAAATAAAATAAATTATCCAACTAGTCTGCACTGGGAAGTTGGATTTGGACA